CATTCTCCTGGATGACGATTTCCAACCCAAGATAGCAGATTTTGGGTTGGCAAGGCTTCTACCTGAAAATCAGAGCCACCTTAGCACAAAATTTGCCGGAACATTGTAAGTTACAATAAACTGTTGAAATTAGAATGGTCCGTGCAATTGTCGTGATATAAATTTATTTTATATCTTCTTCCATGTCTCCTCAACCAAACATATTTTTATCTCTTCGGTATCCGTCCTAGTCCCTTGTGTCTTGGGAAGTAAACTTTCACCTGTAAGCACAAGAAAAATTACCTTCAGAAAGATTAATGCAGTTGCAGCAGTACATAGAAGAGTTTTAAGTCTCATAACAGCTTTCCACCATTTTTCTACTAGATTCCTGTTATATTTCCTCGTATGGTGAAACTATATAGCAAACATGATGGTGGATGTGAACATGACTATAATCCATGCTAATGGAACATGAATCTGTTAAGGTGTTTCACATTTAGTCATAACAGATTGGGTTTTGATACTACCAAATTTTGTTAAAGAACACAAATACTTATCAAATGCATCTATATCTGACATCAAAATTTGAATCAATGCCCATGAATTCAGGGGATACACGGCACCTGAGTACGCTCTCCATGGACAGCTATCGGAAAAAGTTGACACATACAGCTTTGGTATCGTTGTCCTTGAAATCGTAAGTGGCAAGAAGAGCAGTGAAATGATAGCTGATCCTGGTGCTGAATACCTCCTCAAAAAGGTGAGTCCCGGAAGGCTAGAACCTTAATTAAGACAATGTTTATTATGCTGTTATTTCAGTCTTGTATCTTTGTCTGCATCATGTTCAACAGGCATGGAAGCTATATCAGGATGGTAAGCACATTAAACTGGTGGATGAAAGCTTAGATCCCAGTGAGTATGAAGCCGAGCATGCAAAGAAAATCATAGAGATTGCCTTGATGTGCACCCAATCATCACCAACTTTAAGGCCAACAATGTCCGAGGTAGTTGTTTTGTTCAAAAGTAGGGGTTCACTGGAGCACACACAACCAACTAGACCTCCCTTTGTTGAATCTGTAGAAAGGGTCCGTGGAGACAGGTCCACTTCTACTGCTTCCTCCTCATCCAATGCCACTGCTTCTTTCTCTGTGGTATCTGCTCGCTGACGTCCCGTTGATTCATAAAATGTGACGTGCAACTTTGGCAACAAGCCCTGAAGATGAATAGTTTATAGGACCTGTGAATTTGCATCATCATGATCCCTCCATGAGAGATTGGCACCATAAATAAGACCATTCAAAGGAAAACGAAATCTATTCCTGAACCTTTCACTTGACATCTGTTGTCAATAACAGGCAACTGATCTTAAGCTTGATTAGTCATTTTTGTGAATAAAAGACAATCATGTTAACAGCCACTAAAACCATGAGCACCCCACTTTCAGCTATAGCACTCTAACCAAAACCATCTAACTACTGAGTTCCAACATTCACAGGTAATTCACGAGGAACACAAAATATAAATTCTTAACTAAAGAAAAGGATAAAACTACCCACTTTAACTGATATGATCGAACGACTGCAACATGGAAAAAAAATGAAAGAAATTTTATGAATTGTTTTAGGAAAGCAAATTAATTTTTGTCACAATCCGAATTCTGAATCCATGACCGGCATATAAATAAAATTATTATCTCACTATTCAATTGTGTTAACAACTTTAGAGGGGTGAGTTCAAATTGGATTTGGTGACATCAACACCAAATTTAATAGCCTTACAATCAGGCTTAAAACATTAGGGTTACGTGCAAACATGAACTAAAGAAGAGAAGCACATGTCGGAGATGACACCTATCATGACCTGATTCTCGGATCCATAATTGGCATACAAGTAATATTCTCCTTCAAGATTCTATACCTATACAAACCTAAACTTACACACAAACTTATCATTTAAACAACTCAATCAAAGTTATTTGTAGCTTTAATAACAAAATAAATTTCAATATAATTTAATTGTTTTATACAAGAATTAGTATAAATTTCATAGTTATGGAGCATTAACTAGACATAAAGAAAATATACAAATTTCAACCAAAAAAGAAAGTTCGGAAGATCCAACAAAAGTGACCAGCTAACAAACTATAAGCCTGAAAAGATAAATAATGAGAGGTTGAGCTCAACAACTTAGTGAGTAAATAACATTCAATATACACACACGAGGCAATACAATAGTAAGAAATATATATATACACAAGTATGGATTTAGGTTCTTATAGGAAGTTTCTCAAATAGACTATAACAAGAATATCACAAGGTAAAGCTCACCAAAAAATCAAAATATAATGAGCATGAGGCTCTATACTATGGGATAATCAATCCACATAGATTGGTGACTCCCCAAACCAACTAGGGTTCAGATACGATGTACACAAAGACTAATATTACCCTATTAACATGGATATTCTGACTGACATACCATATGTTCATAATCATAATCAAGCAGACATATTCATATATAAAGGCTCAACTCATGACATCAATCAAATAAGAAGCTATCAATTCAGAAGCCAATTCAAAGTATATATTGGTTCATATTAAGAATTTAGATTTAACAATTAATCATGTTTTACCATAAAAAGGATAATAATCAGCATATATATCATCAAAAAGAATGATCAAATTTGTATTAATAAATCAAATATTTATAATATTTCTTATACATATGAAAAATTATTAACTCACCTGACTTGAAAGTAACAGCACTCAAAAGCAGATATCAAAAAAAAATCTTATTGATGTCTCTCCGTTAGAATATCAAGATTATCTAAATATAAAGGTGACATATTCAAGAATGACTCAAAAAAAAATATAATCTATTTAATACACTTAATTAAGGGTTTATTCCATAACCTTATATATTTTTGAACTAACTAGTTATTTAAAAAAAACAAAAATTAAATAGTTTTCTCGAAATCTAATTCATAATAAAAACAAATAATAAGACTTGATGATAATTCACTAAATAACCCTCAATTATTCATCAAACCAATCTGAAAGAGTTAATACTGCAGTTAGGGACCCATTTGAATTTTATCATATTTTTAAGGGTCAAATTGAAGGACCAAACTAAAAATTTCATACATCCATGACTATACTGAAATTCTAACATTAATTAATCCTCAATTCTTGTGATGTTTTGAAAATTAGTAGGAAAGGGCAACCAAGCCCTTAGTGGCTTAAAGAGTAAGTATAATTAAATGAGGGGTATTGTGGTAATTGAATAATAGTTGATAAATACAAATAGGAAGAAGAAAAAACAAAAGAACAAAAGAGAGAGCTGTGTTTTTTAGAGCAAACGTAAGAGAGAAGGGAGAAGGAAGAAGAAGAAGAGAAAAGAGGGGAAGAGAAGGGAAAGGAAAGAGATTGAGAGGAAATAACTTTAAAAGTAAGATTTAGGTTGTTAAATGTATAAATGTGTTGTTTGAAATTTAAATTTATGTTTTGATAAATATTAGGGTTTTGAAAATTTATGTTTTGGATTAATTGATGAATTAATTTGAATGTTATAGGGTTGATTGTTGTGGGTAATTGATTAATTAGTTGATTTTGAGAGATTTTGGGTAAAGATGATGATGTTGAGTTATGATTTGTATAAATTGTGAATTTTGAGTTGAAAGTCTAGAAAGAACAGTAGGTAATCTGTGAAAAATTCAAAGAACAGTAGGTAATCTGTGAAAAATTCTGGTTTTGAGGTTGAAAATGATGAAAATTCAATTTGATCCCTTAATTCGTAGATATTACAGTTTAGTCCCTAAACTTTGGGAAAATTATAATTTGACCCCTAATGGTATTTTGAGATTCTGGACAGTGTTATAATGAGGTTAAGGATGATGAATCTCAGTTTGATAATTGATTTGGAATTGTGATGTTTTGAAAATTAGTAGGAAAGGGCAACCAAGCCCTTAGTGGCTTAAAGAGTAAGTATAATTAAATGAGGGGTATTGTGGTAATTGAATAATAGTTGATAAATATAAATAGGAAGAAAATAAAACAAAAGAACAAAAGAGGGAGCTGTGGTTTTTTGAGAGCAAACGTAAGAGAGGGAGAAGGAAGAAGAAGGAGAGAAAAGAGGGGAAAAGAAGGGAAAGGGAAGAGATTGAGAAGAAATAACATTAAAGGTAAGATTTAGGTTGTTAAATGTATAAATGTGTTGTTTGAAATTTAAATTTATGTTTTGATAAATATTAGGGTTTTGAAAATTTGTGTTTTGGGTTAATTGATGAATTAATTTGAATGTTATAGGGTTGATTGTTGTGGGTAATTGATTAATTAGTTGATTTTGAGAGGTTTTGGGTAAAGATGATGATGTTGAGTTATGATTTGTATAAATTGTGAATTTTGAGTTGAAATTCTGGAAAGAACAGTAGGTAATCTGTGAAAAATTCTGGTTTTGAGGTTGAAAATTCAATTTGATCCCTTAATTTGTAGAAAATACAGTTTAGTCCCTAAACTTTAGGAAAATTATAATTTGACCCCTAATTGTATTTTGAGATTATGGATAGTGTTACTATAAGGTTAAGGATGATGAATCTCAGTTTGATAATTGATTTGGAATATTTTCAGTTTGGTCCCTAA